TAATGAAAGTGTCATCAACGTAACGACAGTAGAAGTCAAGCTTATCAATAGCATCTTTGAGAGGTCCGTTTTCTAGTTTCGCGAGAAAAAAGTCCGTAAGGATAGGAACCAGAGGTGAACCCATCGCTCTATCGTTCTATGTAACGTTGATTTAAGCCTTTATTATTCTTATCAAAACTAGTACACCTGTCATCACACTATCAATTTGTATTTTTCACATATTATGTTTATTTATGTAATCTACTCCATTGTTACCATTGACTCATAAACTACCTTGATTGGTTTAATCATTTCGTATATGCATATAAATATTGCTGTAGATTAGAGTAAAGCCTAATGATAAATCTAAAACAATATTGTTCCATGCAATTGGTTCCCTTTATGAATTTTAATAGAGCAAGAACAAACATTGATGCAACAATATTGTTCGCTTATATATGTTTTTTTAAATTACAATATGGGAATTTTTCAAATTTTGAACTGCTTCTGCCATTCTTACAATAATAATAATAGTAACTATATTTATTATTATTATGCTTATTTCACTCTCACACACTAATTTCCATTCATTTTTATTATACTCAACTTTCTCTGTCTCTTCACAATACCATTTTTATCGTGTACCCCATATGTAATATGGTATTCCTTTGTCCCAATATTTATATGTTTAAGTAAAGAAATGAAATAATCTAATCACATGTAAGTTTGTGGCTACATATACATGAGGAAGAGAAACCGTGATTTGCAATTTCGGGGTTTTTCAACATTTACTGAAATGGCTACAGAAACTAATAAAATCAAATGACAACCGAACCAGATGATAAACCTCCATCATCGTCTATTGCTAAACAGTTAGTTGAAACAGGTTATAAGATTGATCTTAACTCAACCTTTGTGGTTTTGCACAAAAATTGTTTAGAGGATGTTCTTAAGTTTTTTTGGAAGCTTGGCCAAACGAAAATTCAAACTCCTTTTATTTGTTCAAAGACATCTTTTTATCACTCTGAATTTACCCTGGTAATAATATTTTACTTATCCAGCGTGATGAGTTTCATATCATTTTAACGTTCTTTTGTTTCTCATATATGAATGTTTTTAACAAATACATTTGTGATCAGGTTGTTTCAAATGAATTGCCTTAATAATTCACATAGTTCTGATAATCATGATATATTGTATGGTATTTCACATAAGCTTTTTAATTGTATTGAGAAATTTACTTCTTAAGAGAAAGATATATTTAGGTTTATGTTGTTAAATAATTTTAGTGTTTCTTTTTTATCAAGGCAAAGACCTAATTGAACATTGGTATCAAGAATCGGAAAAATATAAGTTTAACTCTGAGCCGGATAGTATCCAGGGTATAGGTAATTTGTATGAATTTGATGACTTTATTTTCTGTTATAATCGTGTGATTTATGTATCTTGATAAATTTTTGCGAAATCTATAGTTCCCTCAGATTCATATATTATGATTTTAATCGTATGCTTTTACCCAATTTTTAATGGTCAAAAGATATTTCATTTCAAGAATGTTGTTTGAAGGAATATCATTACCATTATCTACATTAGAACCTTATCATTCAGTAAATTGTTTTGTGTAATTATCCTAGAACAGTTAACTTTAATCTAGTTGTAGAATAGATGGAAGATGGCTAGTATTAGGAAAAGAGTTTCGTCCCATTTTCGATTCATCACCTGTCCAACGCGATTGTATTTTGAACAAACGGTGTTGGGTTCGAGTCCTTAGAGTGAACATCAAAAGAGGGCGAAATGTGTGTCCCAGATTCCAGTGCTAGCCGCGTTCTATTTATTCTATATCAGCTTATCGTAATGCTTATATCAAGGCAATACACACAAGATACCCATATGCCAACCAAGACTGATAAAATTTCGGTTGAAAATATAAACAACGGGATCATCCAAAACCATTTCAAATCTAATTTAGTTGATTGAAAGTACGATTCTAACCAGTTTTTTTTATTGAGAACCATTAGTTCAAAATGGAAAGTGCACTTATTTCACACTTGAATAAATTCTCACATAAGCCCTGTTTCTATTATTGCATAAATATAAAATCTTCAATGATATTTTTGTAGTTTACAAAATAATTAGTCTGGAGAATTGTTAACATGTTTCTTTGTCAACTTAGTTAATATCATTCAATAAGTCTCATTTTCTTTGTTTTGAATATATTGTCGGAGGGCTAACACTAATAGTTAACTTAGTATAAGTCTCTTAAGTTTTCTCTATAGTTTGAGTGATAAGATACGACGAATAAAAAACATGTCACCTATACGTTGTAAGCTAGTCAAGAAGTCTTTTCACCATGTATGTTACTGAAAGGTGTACTAAGCAAGTGCATCAACAAATTAAAGGGTTTTTACTTCACTACCGTTGGTAGGATTAGGGCTTGTGATGAACTACTGCCCTCCGAATTAGCTACGTCGAGAACTCCCTGTCTTCACTAGTGGCCATTAATTTTATGGTCCCAAAGATACGTATTTCTGTATCTCGATTTTTCAAGGTCAGAATAGTACTAGATGGCAGTAGGATTTTCCACTAAACGTTATTTGGGTTATATATTATAAAAACTGCCTGCGTTGCTCTCTTTCGATGGATTTATGTATTGACACTAAGATTTATTTAATGGGCGAAATAATGGATTTCTCAGATTCACGGTGTAAATGTAGCTGCTTAGTGACTGAATGAAAAGTCTCTGCTATCACATGACTAGTTCCATCGTCACTTCCTGTTATTGGTTAGTATCAGTGATTTATATCGAAATTGTATTTGTTTATATCTGAGATCTAAAACATTAAGTTGTTACGTAATTTGTATTTGTTATCGATCACCATGTTAATTGCTCTAGGTAATTTTACTCAAATTGTATGGTCAAGTTCTGAAAGGATTGGAGTTGGTATTGCAAGTCAATCCTACAAATCAGGAGAGGACTTGCATAAAGATTCGAAACTGATTTTAGTTTGTTTGTATCATCCTCCAGGGAATGTGACCAGTCAATTTCGAAATAATGTTAAAAAAGCTGTCAAGTAAAATACAGATGCACAATTTGAACAGCTACTGAAACCTTTAATCAAGTGAACAGATATATCCCATCGCATGCTGCTATTCTCCAAACAACCTTTTTGAATTCATAATATTTTTATTTCTAATTATCATGTTTCTTCAAAAGTTATTTTATGCACTATCTAGATAATTTTAAAATTCTTATTGTTTTGTTCATTTTAATCTTACGTTACTTGGAATGTATCAATAAATTTTAAAGTTGGTTTCGATTACTCTAAACATTGAATACAGGACTCAGTAGCTGAGTGAATAACGCGATGGCGTTTGAAGCGAACGCTACTGGGTTTGAGTCCAAGAGTGAACATCAACTCAAATGCAGGTACACCCAGCTGATGAGTCCGAAATAGGAAGAGACGTGCGTCATCCACTCTACTGCTAGTAAAACATTGAATATTAGATAAATTAATGTACTCGTAACACATTAATTTCTCTTTACATCGAGATTTCTATATGATAAGATTTTAAACTATCATTTTCAATATATAAAAACAATTCACTTGGATTTACTAACTACCAATTATGCTTCATTGGAGTTCAATCAAAATAGCTTTATTCTAAAGCTTTTACAGTCTAAATAATCCTTCCTTTTTTTAAACGATACCATTCGTAAAGAGATTATCAGAACTATTTGAAATACAGGGAAGAGCCAAGTTACATTTCGGGTAACGATGGGTCTATTTTCGTTAATATGATTATTTATAAGCTAAATAAAGCTAGTGAGCATCAAATTATTACTTTTATGATCATGGTGTTTTCGGTAGCTACAACAAAGACCTACATAGTTGAAACATCTCAAAATATAGTCAAAACAGATCCGAAGAAAATTGGTGGGCTATCTAATCAGATGAAAACTTAAGTTTATGGAACGAACAATACAAACTTGATTCTGACTAGTTACTTGCTAGAGTAATAAAAGTATAATGTACATGTGAAATAAAATGCAGGAGATTTCTTCTAATATATTTCTACCAAACGAAACAACCAAAAATGTCCTATGGAGGTAAATCTAGCTTCATACTAAGCTGCATTTGCACAATATCTCTCTAGGTCAAACTAATGAAGAAGGTAATATATGATAAGCTTTTTGTATGTGAACCCAAAAGTTTGGTGGTATATCATCTGTAAGAAGTTTTACGAAGTATAAGTATTTGCTAATATTGGTTCCTCTTGGCCTTATTTGCTTGCATTTTAGAAGAGTCAAATGCCATCCTGTTTTGTAATAATTGCTATTTGTTTTAAAAGATCGGACCGAGGATCTACAAGTTTCGCACATTACTGGACGACTTAATTTGAGGTTAAAAAATCCGTAATCGTAACTTTAATCAGTTTGCGAAGTAGCGCGATGACCATCCATTGTAGGTGACGATAACTATCTTACTCCTGACATGACTAAGCTCAGTTAACAGTATCATCGAAAGTCGGACAACACTGGTCGGTCATTATTATTTAATAGTACATTTTATTAATAATCAGATAATTATACCTTGTTTGAAACTGGACTGCTGATTCGTTATGGCTGTTAATTTTCCTGCCCAATAATTATTCTAATTTTCGAAAGATTAACTACTACGCAACTTCCTACCTAAAATCCTTTGATTACACATAAGAATACCACTATTCACATTTTCGTAGTTATAAGAAGTGTCCACTTGATGAGATTCGATGTAACACGTAAAACAAACGCATTCTACATGTTGCCAATTGTCTACATTAATGCGGCAGCGTCATGATTAGTAGTTCATATAAGATCCATATCGATTTTAAAACTATTACATTCCATAACCAAAGTAATTGTTACTTCAGAATATCACTCACCGGACATTAAAAACTACGTGTTTAATACTACATACGTCAATCAACTCACCGCTAGGACAAAAGCTTCTTATAGGACATTTACTATAATTAAATAATATTGAACAATCTACGAATGTTATATTTCATATTACAATGTAGACATTGATAACTCATAAAAAGATAAGTAATGTACAGGATACTAAGAGTTTTTGTTTTGTTTAACAAAACGCTCTATATCTTTATCACGTAGTAAGGCTGCAGACTTTGATATTGGTCTGATAATACGACCTGACTGAACTGTAACTTTGGGCCTTGTTAGTTCACGATGTGTAAGTTCTGTTGTCCATTCTCTACAAATAGGCTGAGAGATAAAAGCTTCAAATTGTTCTGGTGTGTTGTATGGGAACGGAATAGTTTTTACCTAGCAAAGATTGAAGTGGAAAAAATTAACGGACGGTTGCAAAAAAACAAATACATTCATGAATATATATATATGACATACCAAGTGTTGCTTGAAATCTTGGTTTACACGCCGTTTGATGATTACGTGAGGTTTTTTGTCATCTTCACGTTTTACTCTAGGAGCAGGTATAATTCTGGATCTCCGCTTTCTTTCATCAGCCTTTTCAGTTCCTGGACCTGTCCAGGAATTCCATCCAGGCAGAAATGTATCAATATCTTGAGGTGCTTCATCTTTCACAGTTTCAGATTTCTCTGCGGAAAACTTCTGTTGTAATGCAGGATCATTTGCAAAGCTTTCTTGAAGTGCATGGAAAAACCCCTCTGAATTGGGATCAACTACATCTGGTTCTGCAGCCACAATAGTATTGCACACTACTGGTTCACTTAAAATCATCTGATTGACTTCATATTTTTCTAGTACTTCTTCAGCTGCCTGAGTGGAAAGCACAGCTCCAACAGTTGTCTGATGTTCGTTGTTCGATTTGTTCTTGGTTGAGCTCTAAATGAAAAAAATAATTGAGAACATTTATGACCACTGAACTATAATACATAATTATCACTTATTGAAAACATGACTGGGTATTTCCAAGTTTAAATACTGACACTGCAAAACGAATACCGATATGAAACTCAGTCGAGTAAGTTGGATTTTGTCGTAGATAGAAGTTAGGAGCCACACAGAGAAAAGTAAAATACAAGAATTGTTTAATCTATGACGTCTGTAAAAGTTATGCACTGTATAGGTAATTCTTATCAATAAATTACGGTAATCAAAAGAGAAAATCATAAGGACATATATATGCACCTTTTCACTTTTGACCATTTTATGTGAACCAAACTACACAAACAAGGTATATTTCGTCATAATTACACTACGCGATGTCAGTGGTAGGTTACGCATATAATGGGAAGCAGTTTCAGGTTCAACTGCATTCGATAAAATTCAAGTGTAGAACACGAAGGTGAATTATGTAGTAAGACAAATTTATCTTTTCATGCAAATTTCGAAAACCTATTATAGTTGTACTATTGTACGATGCAACCGCACACAAACAAAGAAAAATAATGAACTGGCTGACTAAAAAAGTAAGCACTATACTATTAGACAATCATAAAATGTAGAAATGGGTACAGATATATATTAGTTCGAGTTGTCAAGCTTCAACATAACGGGAGAATTAACAAGATGACAATCAAGAAGTTAACAACAACAACGGTAGTGGAGAAATAACCACAAGAAATATAATTGGTATGTGATTCCTGCTAACATGAGATTTTGAAAAAAACAGTAGCTTTTCGGATTAGTGGAAGGTTTGATTGTAGAACGCACTTATTAGCCTATGCATCAAGAATTTAGCTGCAAGTTAAACTAACTGTGATGATTAATTGTGCTACCCGGTTTCACGAACCAAAATAGTGTTCGAACATATGGCCTGGTGGTCGAAAGTCGAATCACTAAACCACGGCGTAGCCAATATATGCATAAAATATATACTCCGTTATATTTAGTGGATTTCCTACAGCAAAGTGAGCGAAAATATTCATGTCTTGCAAAAATATACGTTGACCAGCTAGTATATGTTGAAAACGGATATTTTACCTTTTTCCACCAGCCGAGGGTTTGAGTAACTCCATTAACTTCCTCGTCGGCATCATCGTCTAAATTAAAATCAGACCCTTCTGATTCCCCCTCAGATTCAGATGATAAAGATACATCAGATTCATCAGTATCAGATAGAAGGTCGGGATCAGTCCTTCTTGTGGTCTCCCTAGATAACTCGTGCATGTCTGCTACAGCTGCTCTAGCCTGGTAATTTATAAGTAAGATTAACATATAGCTACCTCAGAGTCATACTTTGCTCTCAACTTCTGTAATTTTGCAAACTTGCTACCACCTCTATGTTTCAGACTGGCTCTTTCTTTGACTCTACTTAATTCGGCACTGATAAGACGTTCAGCAAATTTTCGAGGATTATTGATCCGTAATGACTCCGTTTCTTTTTCATATTCCTTCATAGTACGTGCCTTCAAATGACGATGAAATCGTTTGCTTTTGATTTTATTTTGACGCTTGTTACGAGCAGCAGCTCGAGCAAGTAAGAAACGTTCTCTGTCACGCATAGCGATTTTTTCCAGTAGCATCTTGGAAACTATCTTCGCTGCCTTTTCTGGAATTTCTTCCTGAGGTGTACTAAGAACTAACAAAATGAAAAAAGACTAACCTTGTGTCCATATCTCTATACAGTGCACTATATAATTTCCCCTGTAAATTTGTCGAATCTTTTATAGTATCCTTGACATAAACTTGCTCTTTCATTTTTGCAGCCTCTTGGGAGGCTGACATAACGATTTCTCTGTCATTTATTGGAAAAACGATTTGTTCTGCAAGACGATTTTTATGTACTGGGCCTTTCCACAGATTAAGCTGACGTTTAATTCCTCTGAAAGCTATTCTTCTGGCTTGTCTTGCATCCTGAATCTCATCAGTTTCATTCAACACTTTGTTGCGCCTGTGGAACTCATTCAGAATTTTCCTTTGGGTTTTTTTATCACCTTTCTTTAAACTTATGAGACCCCATACGTTAGCATCCTCAACTCCGGGTGCTGCACACTAAGGATTTTGAAGCTTAATTTTATGCAGACAACTCACCTCCAACATCGTCAATCAAGGAGAAAAACGAAACAATCACTTCCTTTTGATCAGATACAATGATATCACGACAGAATGCTAAGAGGACTGGAATATAAACGATAGTGTTCAATAAATTCATAGAGAAAAAGTGCTTATAGATGATATTACACAAACTTACATAGAAAACGGAAAATAACAACTGAACTCAAAACACATGAGACTTAGGCGGTATATAATAAATCGCTCGTTTAATTTCCAGTTTGGAAAAAATAAGTTTGATGGCCTGTGTTAGCCGTGGCAAGAGTCGGCAGATGAAGCTCCAATCACGTACTGAAGTAGTGAATTCTACTGGTTAATGGTTCAGTGGGAAAGTCGATAGTCATCTGACTAATTTGTTCTAGGCTCGTGAAATCTTGTGGTGTCCTCGTGAAAGATAGTTTTAAGACTTCAGCTGTGATTGAGGCTTTCACCGTCCTTCAAAACATCAGCACCAAAAACATCAATCAATCTACCAACATACGAGATTATAATTATAGAATACTAGGTACAAACGCTAAATTTACTAAAAGTGAACGGCAGGTAATGACCTGCCGTTATGAGGAAAATATTAACATTTTATCGATCAACAAGCAAATTGAAGTTATAAAACTCTCAAAACCGCAAGCTCATGGCTGGAATGCAACTCATGTCTGTATACAAACCTTATGAAATCCAAAAATCTGCTAGACGTAATGCCCCTGATATACCAGATTTCTTAGAAAACGCACTCAAAATAGAAACAGCTTTGAAATTTCGACGCAGACGAAAATATAAGGTGTTAAATGACGGTAGAACATTAAAAACCCATGAAAAGCCTGAGCAATACACTTAATAGTAGCCCAATTTTCGAAAGACTGCTCAGAGCTTTTCAATATTCTAGATGACATTGTGAAAATGCTTAACATTAGCTGATTTCGTAAATAAACCTTCTCACAACACATATTTTTAATAATGCTGTTTTATTCTTCAAATCGTTGCTATCGTCCACAGACTAGTTAATTATTTTCGACCGAATCGAACACTCCAACTAGTAATGTACAAATTTATGTCTGTGCATTTATATTCCCACATTATTAACTTAATGTCACTCTAATCCGACAAATTAGACATTATATCCGTATTCTTAACTTTTTTGATCAGTTACAATTTTGTTACCCAAACTTAAGTACTGAAGATGGTATGTCGAATAACTTCCGTTCATTCATTGAAGGGCTAGCATTCTAAAGAAATTTCCTACTGGTCAGGGTTGTAATGCCTTTAAGATGCCACAAGTATTCAGTGTATACGTCACTTTAACCAGTAAAAACTTCTATTACTGGAGTGTGCCCACCCAGTTCAGTTTCAGTTTCGGAAGGGCAAGAGGCTTGATGGCCTGTGTTAGTCCAGGCAATGGTGATCCCTCGGTTGATCCAACTTTTTTTGAAAGAATCGACGGATAGAGCCTCAACCACATGCTGAGTTAATGAGTTCCACTCGTTGATGATTCGATGGGAAAGTCAATAGTCAGCTGACAAGTAATTTATTCTTGGTTTGTAAACTTTTTTCGAGTGTCCTCGTAAATTCTCTGTTTTGGAAGACAAGAAAAACGAGGGCATATCAGGTGCAAACTTGGCACTAAGCAATTTGAAAACTGCAATCCAGTTCCCTCTAGTTCTGCGATATGACAACGGGAAAAGGTTTAGCTTGGCCAGTCGAGCATCGTATGGAAGATTCGCTATTCCGAGAATCAGTTTAGTTGCTTTTATCTGAACCTTTTCCAGAAGCTCACTGTCTTTTTTAAGCATGGGCTAGCCGCCTGTATGCAGTACTCAAGCTTAGGGCGTACGAACACTGTATACAAAGTCAAAAACGTCTTAGAGTCGACATGACTAAAGGCTCCACGTTGTAGTGACTCACGTTTATTACGAGAACTGGACAGGTTCAATAAAAACAATTATTATTATAACCAGTTGTACCAGTGTTTGTTTTAATGTGCTTTTGTTTGACTGTGCTGATGACAGCTATATTCGGCTTCCATTCTTGTTCTTACACTTCGATTGTAACTTCGCGCGAATTCGGTTACCTTCTGTAACCAAGCTTGTAACCTGGCACGATCTCGGTATCCCTTCGATACCACGAGATCGCCAGTGAATAAATCTTGACTTGGTCCATTTTCTGCCTTCTGATATTTGGCTTCTCGGGGTTTTTATGGAGTCATTTGGAACGAGCTTCATGGTAGCGGTGTTCACAGTTAATCCCGACTCGACACCACGCTACAACGTATTGACCATAAGGTTCTGAAAACTTTGGCGGCTATTGCACGGCAGTGTGCAGTAGTCTTTTGTCTTGGCTAACGATAACTCCTAAGTCATTATATATCTAGACGACAGGTAACTTAGTGTTGTTCATCATGTATGTATCTGTACCTTGATGGCCGATATGCATCACAACACACTTGGAAGTATTTAACGGCAACTGCCAGGTTTGAGACCATTCAGATAGTTTCTTCAGGTCATTTTGCAGATCTAAGCTATCACTCTTACATCATATCGTTCTCCATACCTTGACATCGTCAGCATATAGCAAGACCGATGATGATAGGAGATAAGGAAGGTCATTTACATACAAGAGGAATAGCACTGGTCCCAAAATTGTACACTGGGGCACTCCACTAAGCCCAGTTTCCCAGCTAGATAACTTTGAGTTCACCCGTACACTTTGTTGACGCCCAACTAAGAAGTCTTTTATCCACATCAATAGATAGCCTCTAATCCCGAAATTTCTTAACTTATATAACGGCTGGTTATGCGGAACTTTGTCAAAAGCTTTGCTGAAATCAATAAAGGCTACGTCTACAAGTGACTTTTGATCCTTAAGAGCGCACCAGCTTTCACGATCCACTAATAAGTTAGTGAAACAATAATAACATATTCTGAAGCCGTGCTGCTTCTTCGAAAGGATCCGGTTTTCATCAAGGTACTTAAACAGCTCCTTCCGAATAATGTTTTCTAAGATTTAAACAACCACACTAGTTAGGCTAACGGGGCCGTAATTCTCAGGTTTGTGTTTCGTACCTGTTTTGAAGACAGGACTTACTATAGCGTTTTTCCAGTCTTTGGGTAAACGACCTTGCATTACGGATAGGTTAAAGCATATACTTATAGTGTTTGCAACGAAGTTAGATAATTCCTTCAGTAGCCTAGGATGTAATTCATCGGGTCCCGTGGATTTACCTATGTCAAGCTTATTTAGTAGACCAAATACATCGAGTTCTTTAATGGTCACCTTATCTAGTGTATGTGTGGGGGAATCTGTATGCAATGACGGGAAGGGTGTTTCTATGGTATATACATTGCTAAAGTAGTTCGAGAACACTTGAACCTTACCAAAGTCGTCCTTCACTAATGATGCAGCAGTACTGTCTCCCCACAGTGCAAGAATATTTCCTCTTCTCTTTGTCCTTTGGTTTATATAGGAGTACAAACGTTTAGGACATTCTATGGATTCCTTAAAAAAGTTTTCTTCGCACAACTTTCTAGACTTACGGAGGGTCGAGGCACAGGTATTCCGAGCTTTTCGATACTGAGATTTTGTCTCATCAGACCCCAGTAACCCAAATATATCCCACACTTTTCTACTCTTACGGAGAAGGATGCAGATCTCACTATTGTACCATGGTGGGGAGTTTCTCGGCCCCCATTGTATAATCCAAGGGATGTGGGGTGTGATAACTTTTAAGTATGAATTTCGAAATGCGTCCCAGGACGCAGGACTAGGACTCTGGTTCTATTGTCCAACCTACTAACGATGTTGGGTGCATGATATCTGGTATATTTGCTTTCCATACGTTAGACCTGGATTGGACTGACGTGTGCTCGTGACTGACAGTTATATGGAAGTCGAAATTTAGAACTGCGTGATCACTCTTACCTGGTGGTGGCATATAATGGAGATTCGCAACGTCATCCTCATATTGAGTCAGTATAAGATCTAGTAAGGATGATTCAGTATCCGGGTCTTACCTTGTCGCTTCTTGCACATGTGATAACCGCATCAACTAGTTCCTGCTCGAAGGAATTTTCTGATGGTTCAGTTCGCAGATTTACCCACCATTGTTGCATTAAAGTCCCCTAGGATTAGACATCGACCACTTTGTGACCAATTGTTGAGACTGCTTAACAGGATCTCATTTACCTCACAGCTTGGACTGCGTTAGACTAAACCATTCAGCAGCTCTTGTCCCTTGCATTTCAAGCGGCAACTAACTATTTCACACTCTCCCTTCTTTACGCTTTTGTATCCTGTAGGCCTTTACTAACGTGAAACCCTTGAAATCAAGTTCCATACTCTCTATAGCCTGTGTCAACCAGGTTTCTATAACTGCGATTATATATGGCACTGTAGAGTCAATCTGTACACCTAGTTCCGGTCGTTTATTAAGTAAGCTTCGGGCATTAGTGTAACAGATCCGAAGTCTATTTAAGTGGCTTCGTGCTTCACCCAGAGTGGCTTCGGCATCATTCTCTGTCGAAGCCTTACAATTTTCAGGTCCTTTTAGCCAGCGTCTAACCTAAGTTGTAGTTCTTTATCGGCCTCCCGTCTTTTTACACTGTCTGCCAATGGCAATTCCTTACGGATAAAAACTCCTGAACCCTTTAATTTATGTCCATTCTGTAAAATTAGGTCGCGTTCGTTCGAAGATTTGAACACTAATTTAGTCTGGATTGATTTGGTTTCAAGTTCGCTAGACTCCCTAGTCTGTACAAATTTAGCAAGACGACCCCGGTGATATTTTGAGTTATGAGTTGATTAAGCACCTGCTTAATCAGCACAATGTCATGCTCAAAACGAGCTTTTGGCTCGGAGCTCTCACTCTCTTTGATTCTATGAAAAATAACTGATATGTCGCTATGATCAGCTTTCGACTTTTCAACGACTTTTACGGGGGCAGGATTCCCTTTTATATCACCACGTTGTTTCTTCCTTACAACCTGTACCCACTTGTCAACGGTGCTAAGAGAAGAAACAACAGTTACGTCAAACCCAGTGTTAGATTCCGGAAGGTTGTGGACGACCTGAGAGTTAAGGTTTTGTTTACCGCTTGAAACCGATCGAGCCTTGCGATTCTGTTTAAGACAGACCTCTTTGGAGACCGTTTTTCCCTCTTTGATCGGTGTGAGTCACCTATTTTCGAACTCACCTGAGTTTTCTTCATACCAATTTGCGTGTCGATAGAGCGAGTGCTGTTTGATTTGTCCCGACTACGCTTGCCAAAACACTTTTTAGCAGAATCTAGCAGTGAGATGGCCTCGGTTAACAAGCTGTTTGCATCCGAACAGCACTGTCGACAAAGCCAGACGCAATCCTTTTTACTGAACCTTTTGAAAGATGAAGGCGTTAAATTTGTGCAAACTTCGTGGTGCCAGCCTTTGCACTCATCGCATTTCAAGCCGCTTTCAACAGGATAACGACAACCCGGACGTTGGCATTTTCTTTTTTGCACTGTCCGGTCATTAGAAGGGGGTCCTTTTAAAAAAAGAGCGAGATGCAACAATGCTCAAAGACAAAAACTAATCTATGACCAAAAAAGTGGTGAACAGTAGTTGTTAGGACCGAAAGTACTAACAGATACTGTAGAAAATAAGGTACTCGAGAGTACCGACGATAAATTAATTGGAAAACAGCAAACGATACTCCAGTCGAATAGTTTAACTGAAATAAATTCAACTAAAGTGGAAACAGTAGTCTTGATACGTAATAAACGATCAAAACAATAAAATTTACTCAGCGAGGAAAAATTTCCACTGTGCTTTTTAATTAGCGCGCGAATTATATCAGAAGTGAGAAGCGAAAAGACTCGAATTTTTTCACATAGAATA